TCATTTCTTCTTTCAGTCTCATTATTATCAACAAGTATTGAGATCTGAGTTTCTCTGTCATTTTCTATGGATTCATTTTCTGTAGGTTCAGAACACAGTTAGTTTTCAAAGAATTCAACATCTCTAGTTTCAATTATTATGTTRGACTCTAAGTCTAGAAGCCTATAGGCCTTGCTATGTTCTGCATATCCAACAAACATACTTTTCTTAGCTCTGAGTCCTAATTTTGTTCTTTTAGGATCCAGTACTCTATAATATGCTAAGCACCCCACACTTTTAGATATGCTAAATTAGGTTTGCTTCCTGTCCATAATTCATATGAGCATTTGTTATTAACTCTAGAAACAATTTTGTTATGTAAATGGCAGTTTGTTAGGAGTGCTTCCCCCCACAGGTTTAAGGGTGCATTAGCTTTTAACATGCAGTTTATCATTTCTGTAAGTGTTCTATTTTTTCTTTCAGCCAGGTCATTCTGCTGAGGGGTATAGGGAGTAGAACACTGATGTATTATTCCAAATTCTTCACAKAAAGAATTAAACTCATTTTTAAAGTATTCAACACCCCTATCACTTCTAAGGATTTTAATTTTCTTTTCTAGTTGATTTTCAACTTCAGTCTTATATAGTTTAAACATGTCAAAGGCTTCATCCTTAGTTCTCATAAGGTAGACATAGGTGTACCTAGAAAAATCATCTATAAATGTTATGAGGTATCTTTTGCCTCCTCTAGTTAATACACAATTGAGTTCACAGATGTCAGAATGGATTAGTTCTARAAGTTGAGAATTTCTCTCGACACTAGGGAAATGTTTCTTAGCCATTTTAGATTTTACACATATTTCACATTTTTCAGTTGATTCATTACTGTAAGCAATTATACCTAGTTTGCTCATGTTCTTTATGGATTTAAAATTCAAGTGTGATAATCTATCATGCCATAAAGAGAAAAAATCAACAATATAAGCAGAAATTTTTCCTTCATTAATACTTAATTTGAACATATCATTACAACCATATCCCTTTCCAACAAATATCCCATTCTTGGATAGGATTAGTTTGTCGGAYTCAAAGACAACTTTGAATCCCCTCTTACAAACAAGATTTACTGAGACCAAGTTCTTTCTAATGYCAGGAAYATGGAGAACATTCAGGAGAGTCRRTGTCTTTCCGGAGGTGAAGTTCAACTCTACGCTGCCTGTTCCAGCAACTTTGGCACATATTTGGTTTCCCATCTGTACCTCATGACCATCAGTCACTTCTTCATATGTCTTGAACAAAGACTTGACCTTGCAAACATGGACTGTGGCGCCTGAATCAAACCACCATCCAGAAGACAATTCTGCCATGTTGACTTCAGTAATCATGGCCACGAGATTATCTTCTACCATGTTTGCAGACTTGGTTCCGCCTTTCCGATGTTGGCAAACTCGGGCATAATGCCCATTCTTTCCACAAACATAGCAGGATCCTTTCTTATTGTTGCTCTTCTTGAAGTTCCCATCATTCTTCCTTACTTGTAATGCAAGGTTAGTCTTCTTCGATCCGTTTTCCACAAAATTTACCTTAGAGTTCAGCATACCGGTCAGGGTCCTATCCCTATTGTCTCTAATTCGAGACTCTTCTTCAATACGAAGGTGTTGCTGAATTTGCTCCAAGGTAAGTTCTTCAGCCTTGTGCAGAAGCTTCTTCCTGTAATCCTTCCAAGAGGGTGGAAGTTTGGCAATGATTGCTCCCACTTGGAAAGATTTAGGAATGATGATGTTAAGGGATCGAATTTTATTGACTATCACCTGTAGTTCATGAACTTGCTCCAGTATAGGTTTATGGTCGTTCATGGTAAAGTCAGTATTCTGCAATGAGATACTTATTCGTACATGCTTCTTGCACCTTGTATTTGAATTCCAGGGCCTTCCAGATTTCTTTTGGAGATGTAAGTTCCTTGTAGAAGTTGTAGAGCCGGTCTGATAAGGCATTCAGTATGTGTCCTCGGCACAGAAGTGAGTCCTCTTCCCCTTTTGCTCTTTCCTTCTTTAGTTTCTCTGAGTCT